AACATCATTGTGAGAGTGACACATCAATTGGTTGCCTCTAGCAAATATCCACCTACAACCAAGGAATGTGCCCTCCACAGAAATGAACCAGAGACCATTCAGTCCGTGGGCCGACATTCAAACCACTGAGCAAAACCGGCTAGGGCTTGTTCTTTTTTTTTTTTTTTTTTTTTTTTTTTAATGTTTTTATTGATTTTAGAGAGAGGAGGAGGGAAAGATATAGAGAGAGCCATGAGAAACATTTGCCAGCTGCCTCCTGCAGGGCCCCTCCTGGGGATCAAGCCCACAACCCAGGGCATGTGCCCTGATGGGGAACGGAACTAGTGGCCTCTCGGTGCACGGAACAGTGCTCAGCCACCCGAGCCACACCAGCCAGGGCTGAACTTGGCTCTTAACAGGTGTAATTACATACCTATAGTCATGCTTTGAAAAATGTTTCAATCCACTGATGGACCACATAAACCACAGTGGTCCCATACGAATATAAGGGAGCTGAAAAATTCCCATCTCCTAATGACACAGCTGCTGTAAAAATGTCTGTGGTGATGCTGAAATGAACAAACCTTCTGCACTGCCAGTTGTATAAAGGTGTAGCACATACAATTATGCACAGCACACAATATTGATAATGACTGTTGCTAGTTTATATATTTACTACATTACACTTCCTGTCATGTTATTTAATTGATTTCAGAGAGAGAAAGGGAGAGGGAGAAAGAGAAACATCAATGATGAGAGAGAACCATTGCTCTTTGAGGCAGAAAGGATATAAATTACTGGTCTGAGTCCCGTTGCTGGATGACTAACCCCTTAATCATTGCTCTCCCGCCTCCTGCATGCCCCCTACTGGGGATCGAGACTGAAACCTGAGCATGTGCCCTTCCGGTTCATGGGTTAACACTCAACCACTGAGCCACAGCAGCCAGTTCTTATGGTCATTTTAGAGTGTACTCTTTCTACTTAAAAAAAAAGTTTGCAGTAAAACTGTGCTGTGTTATGTGGGCATCAGCCTCAGACATTTGTGTACCTTTTCTGAGTGCAGATATACAAATACTTACCATTGTGTTGCACTTGCCTACAGTATTCAGCACAGTAACATTCTGTGCAGGGTTGTGTAGCAAAAGGCTGAACCACATGGCCCAGGTATGTGTAGACGATACCATCTAGGTTTGTGTAAGTGCACACTGTGACGTTTGTATGACAAAACCCCTTCGCGGTGCTTTTCTCAGAAGGTATCCCTGTGACACATTATTGTACTTGAAAGCAAAGCTCAGGAGATTCCTAAACTCAATTTGGAATCCAGAACTTTATGATTTCTGGGTTTCTCGCTGTACTTTAAAAATTCTTTGAAATTCTAAAAACAATATTTACTCCTCTCATTACTCATTTCCCTGCGTTTCAATATCAAGAGTTTAAAGACGATTACTATTTTTTTAAAAACCAACTGGAGACATTAGTGGGAATGCTAAGGAATGTCTTATACAAGAGATTTCAAATAACTATTCTTTAATATTCCATCCATCAGAACTACTTACATGTTACTAATGGCTAGCCAGATTCTTATCTCAATGTTTTATAATTATGCCACCTGATGTTCAAATTTGATCCAGTCTTAAATTACTCCAGGAAAAGAAATTTATGAAGTATTTAGGCATGAGCTAACGCTTTGAACATGAGAAGAATTAAGTGTTATTGAGGCAGAAAGGATGTGAATTACTGGTCTGAGTCACGTTGCTGGATGGCTAACCCCTTCATCTCCTATCTCTTACATGCAAAATATGGAAAGCAGCTCTACCTACTTACCTACCACACTGTTTAGAAAAATGAGACTTACACTTTGATCTTCTTTAAAGAAGTGTGCTGCCTAGTTAGCTGACTTTTACTTGTTCTTAGTCTTTATCTCAACAGTAATTAATCCTTGGTAAACACATACTATTCTCTTCTACTTGTATAAGAATGGAGAAATTAAATCAAAACCTTGTATTTTTAATGCTTGCTTTAAAATTCTAAACGGAACTTCACATTTAAAAAATTTTGATAAAATTTACCTAGTATTAAAACCATGTTTAAATGTATAATCCAGTGTTTTTAGTATATTTACAAGATTGTGCAATCATCACTACTAACTCCAGAACATTTCTTCACCCCAAATGGAAATCCCCTTTGCCCCATCCCTGGCAACAAGTAATCAAGTTTCTATTTTTAAGAATTTGCTTATTCTGGACATTTCCTATAAATGAAATCATATATTATGTGGCTTTTGTGTCTGGCTTCATTCATTTACATTTGTTTTCAAGGTTCATTCTGTGCACTTATTTCCTTCTGGTTGAATCCATTCCACTGTATGGCTATGCCCACTTTATTTCATCCATCGCTGATGGATATTTGGGTTGTATTCTTTTTGGCTATTATGCATAAATCTGCTACAATCATTTACTAATTGCCAAGCTATTTTCCCCAGTGGCTGTACCCATTTTACATCCCTATTACATGAGGATTCCAATTTCTCCACATCCTAACTTATTTGAAATATATTTTTATTGACTTTAGAAAGGAAGGGAGAGGGAGGGATAGGTAGAACTATCAATGATGAGAGAATCATTGAGTCCTGCAGGCCACCTAACTGGGGATCAAGCCCACAACCCAGGCATGTGCCATGACCAGGAATCGAACCATGACCTCCTGGTTCATAGGTCGATGCTCAACCATGGAGCCACACTGGCCCGGCAGAAACATCCATTTTGTTGATCCACTTATTTATGCATTCATTGGTTGCTTCTTGTATATGCCCTGACTGGAGATCAAACCCGCTGCCTTAATGTATCAGGATGATGCTCTAAGCAACTGAGCTATCTGGAAAGGGTGTTACTTCATTTTCCAAGATACTTTCCTATCTGTTGTCCCTCGGTTGTGAAAATAGTTCAGCCAACATGGCCTTAACCATTAAGTACTACTAAATGCTCAAATCACAGGAAGTGACTCCAAAGTAGAGGGTTCACCATGTGGATGAGAACGGGAGAGGCTGAGGAAAGGTAGAGAAATTAGGGATGAATGTGAATGTGATGCACTGGTGCTTCCTGTGTGTCCTTGGAACAGGATGAGAGATTAAATTTTTCCACGTGAAAACTAGTGACACTATAGGGTAGTTAGGCAGAACAATACTTAAAAGATGTGATCTTTGCCTTCAAAGATCTTCTGTTACTACAATAGATGCCAATAAGAGACGTGTGATCACAGTACTATGAAGACATTAATTGCAATGAGAGAGCTCCAGTGCATCAGAGAAAGGAAGAAACATTACAAGGCAAGAAATCAGTAAACTACATTTATTGAGTACTTACTGGGTACTGACACATCAAATACAAAAGAGTCAGGATGATCAGGAACAATGACCCCTAGGAGCAGCTCCGACTGGGAGATAGCCACCCTGAATTCCTGCCCTGAGACAGTCCAGTTCCTCCCCTTAGGTCCCTGGTTCACCCAATGATGCTGCCCAGCGCTGGAGCTCAGAGGGAGCAGGACCTTTCTCACCATGAAAAGGAACATTTGAAGAAATATTTGAGTTAAACCTATCTCTGCAATATAGCTTGCATCAAGAAATGAAGAAAAATGGTGAATTAGCCAAAACCGGTTTGGCTCAGTGGTGGAGCGTCGGTCTGCGGACTGAAGGGTCCCGGGTTCAATTCCAGTCAAGGGCAGGTACCTTGGTTGCGGGCACATCCCTGATGGGGAGTGGGCAGGGGGCAGCTGGTCGATGTTTCTCTCTCATCGACGTTTCTGGCTCTATATCTCTCTCCCTTCCTCGCTGTAAAAAATCAATAAAATATATTAAAAAAAAAAAAAAGGTGAATTAGAAAAGGAGATTACCAGAATGATGATCTTACAGCAAAAATGCAACCTGCATCTTCAAAATGTATACATATGTCTGGATGAAAAACAATACACTTCAACAGAAGTTATTATCAGTGAAAGCAATTCAAAAGAAATGTGAAAAACTAAGGAATATAAAAGAGAAGTGGAAACAAAAAGAAGTAAACCTCAGAAAACATGGAAATGAATATGGTAGAATACTGTAAAGAAGAACAGTATAAACAGAAGATTGAAGAAAGAACACGACAGGATGTAGCAGAAAAATTAGAACAAGTCAATCTATTTTTACAGACAGAAGCATGTCTATAAACTGCTCAAGAAAATCGCAGTTAAGAGAGAATAATAATGCTTCAATAAGAAGACAGTTTGAATTCAGAACTAAAGATCTGGAATCTGAACTCTCTAACATGAAAACTTCTTAATACTGTAAATGGGAAAAATATAGGAACTCTATCTAGAAGAAACAGAATGTAGAAAGTCTTTGGCAAATGAATTACACAAGACCAATGAGAGAGGAGCAGAGGTCAGCACCGAACTTCTCCTGCGGAAGCACCAGCACAGCCTTCACGCAGCACTCCTCATACGAGGCCAGTCCTAGAAACACCGTGTTGGAAATGATAGTAACAGTTTTGTAGCCAATAGAAATTCTACTCTAAGAATAAGATGGTGATTCCTACCTCAAGAATCCTTTTTATGACTTAAATAAACTTGTAATACTAAAAAAAAAAAAAAAAAAAAAAAAGGGGGTGGGGAATCAGAATGAAGGCAGGTAAGAACTTAAATATACACATTAATTTTACCACTAATTCTAACTACCAGGGAAGTATGAACGGTGTATAAATGACATTTTATAACAAATTTCTATGCCTGTCTAAAGGATAAGCTATACAATGTAATAAAAAAAAGTTTTTAATTGTGCTTACCATCATAGAATTTACCCTAAAATGGGTTAAAATGCCCATACAGAATTCATGTCTATTATATACATATTTCACATTAAATATTGCTTGAAAAGTACAAATACTTTGACCCCATTGCTGAGAAACCGATAGTCAACAGGCAATCTATTTCCCCTTTCAAGTCCACCTTATTTTCAATTTAGTTTCCTACCCAGTTCTCTTCAGAACTATTTACATCTCTTTTGTTTGATCATCTTCTTCGAGTTTCCTGATTTCATTTTTTAAACAATTTATAGTTTCACGACTTGCTTTTAATCTCTCCTTAAGCTCTGCAATTTCAAAGCTTGTTTTTTTCTTCGCAGCTTCTAACTTTTCTCTGGTTTTCACTTCAAGTTCTGCAACTAAGAAAAACATACATTTTTAATGAACTATTTCATTTTTCTTACACATCTAAAATATGTCATAGAGTAATATCTGAGGCATTTCCTGAGGTCAATGTTCCCATGATAAAACATGGGCAACTTAAGAGATATAACAAACATACAGGGGTGGGTAAAAAAATCTGAACTCCAGCCAAAGCCGGTTTGGCTCAATGGTAGAGCGTCGGTCTGCTGACTGAAAGGTCCCAGGTTCGATTCTGGTCAAAGGCATGTACATTGGTTGTGGGAACATCCCCAGTAGGGGGTGTGCAAGAGGCAGCTGGTCAATGTTTCTCTCTCTTCGACGTTTCTAGCTCTCTATCTTTCTCCCTTCCTCTCTGTAAAAAATCAATAAAACATTTTTTTTTTTTTTAAATTCACCAAAACTTAAAAAAAAAAGAAAATCTGAACTCCCAAGAGAGGATCTCAGATGTTTTCTTTAACAGTAAAATTATGGCTATTAATATTTTAATTTATAGTTAGAATTTTATAATGTAATATCCTTGTTTTTCTCTATATACATGTTAATCTGGAAATAAGGGGGCATACAATCCAAGAGATATCCAGCTAATAAGTTAACTAAATATATAGTGTTCTTACCTTTATGTACAGGTAAAACTGACATAAACCAAAAAGAGAGCAGTAACTATCTAGTTTAGAATTCCAGCTCTACCATTTATTAGCTGTTCTGAGTAATTTATCATCTCTATGCCCATTTCATCATTTCTAAAATGGATTCTATAATAAATAACACCTCAATATTCTTTTTTGAGGAGATTTTAAGTGAATTCATAAAGTATCTAGAAAACTATCTGGTACATAGTAAGCCATATTAACTATTATGACTGAGAAACATTAAATGATATTTAAAACATTCAAGCTGCCTATATAACAAGTTACTAAAGAAATTATCACTAAGCAAAATAGAATTCACCTATTTAATGTTTCACTTAGTGCAGCATTCTATTTTACAAAGAGAAATGCCTACTTTCACCCAGCATCTCCATCCTCTGGATATTTCAGGTATTTGCTGCTAATAATCATTAAAGCATAGTTATGCTTTAAGAAAAGCATAAAATGATCTCTAATGAAAGAAGCAAGGTTTGGTGAAGAAAAAACAAAAACAAAAACAAAACCCTTGAGCATTGCTGGTGAGGCTCAATGGCTGAGCATCAACCTATGAACAAGAAGGTCATGGTTCCCAGTCAGGGCACACAGCCGGGTTGTGGGCTCTATCCTCAGTGTGGGGTGTGCAGGAGGCAGCCTATCAATGATTCTCTCATCGCTGATGTTTCTATCTCTTTCTCCCTCTCCCTTCCTCTCTGAAATCAATAAACACACACACACACACACACACACACCACCTTTGAAATCTGAAAAACTTGGGTTCAAATACACCCCTGGCCCCTTATTAACTGAATACTGACATCTCTAGGTCTCCCTCAGTCTCGTCTTTCTGTATGATAGTTAAAACAGAGTATTTCTCAGAGGAGTTATAAGGATTAATCAATAGAGCTGGCCCTTTGTATCCATGGGTTCTGCATCTGTAGACCTAACATACTGGGGGAAAATGTTATGTTGTTACTAATGTTTACTACGCAGTCAGGCCTAGATGATCACATCTGCACTGAACATGCACAGACTATTTTTTTCTTGTTATTCCCTGAACAGTACAGTTCAGCAACTATTTACATTGTATTAGGTAATATAAATAATCTAGAGATGATTTAAAGTATATAGGAGAATATGCATAAGTTATATGCAAATACATCATCCTATCCCGTAATAAAAGGCTATTATGCAAATTGTTCCCTTGACCAGGAGTTTGACTGGGAGTTGAACCTGGGGGTGGGGCAGGCCGACCAACTGCCTGCAGCCCCTCTCCTGGGCCAGCCCCACCCTGGGTCAGTACCACCCTATTTTGGGGCAGGCTAGTCAGACCCCACCTGTGCACGAATTCGTACCCTGGGCCTCTAGTTTTATATAAGGGACTTGTGCATCAGCAGATTATTGTATCCTCTGGATGTCCTGGACCAGTCCCCAAAGTATACCAAGGGAAGAAGACTATAGATATGTGAGACATTTAGCACATTCAAAACGTGCAATAATATTTTCTTATTTTGCTCATTGCTAGTGACTTTCTTTTTGTGATACATTTTAAAACACAGATAAATTTTTATATTGCTAAAACAATCCATATTTTTCTCTGTACTTTATTGCTTTTATTTCTAAATTGTTTTCACCTCTATTTTTTTTTTTTTTTTTTAAAGTTTTGGCCCTAGCTGGTTTGGCTCATTGGATGGAGAGCATTGGCCTTTGTACTGAAGTGTCCCAGGGAGTTTAATTCCAGTCAAAGGCACATGCCTGGGTTGCGTGCAGGAGGCAGCCAATCAATGATTCTGTCTCATCATTGATGTTTCTCTCTCTCCTTCTTCTCTGAAATAAAAACATATTTGTAAAAAAAGTTTTTCTTCATGGAGACGTAAAGCAGGGCACAGGAAATACTAGTACAGTCAATAAGATTGTAATAATTATGTTTAGTGCCAGCTGGTACTAGAAACATCAAGGGAAATATTTTATAAAGTATATGACTATCTAACCACTAGGCTGTGCACTTGAAACTAATACAAATTAGTACTGGATGTAAACTGTAATTAAAAAAATAAAATTAGCCCTGGTTGGTGTGGCTCAGTTGGTTGGAGCATCATCCCGATATGTCAAGGTTGCATATTCAATTCCCCAGTCAGGGCACATACAATAATCAACCAATGAATATATAAATAAGTAGAACAACAAGTTGATGTTTCTCTTTCTCTCACCTTCCTCTTTCCCTCTAAAAATAAATAAAATAAAAAATTTAAATATAAAAAATTAAATTTAAAAAGAGTTTGTACCTTTTGACCCTCCTTCACCCATTTTGCCCACCCCTCACCTCCTGGCAACCACCAATCTGTTCTCTGTATCTTTGAATTTTTTTTTTTTTAAATTACACATATAAGTGATTTTATACAGTATTTGTCTCTCCCTGTCTGACTTTTTTCACTTAGCATAATTCTCTCAAGGCCCATCCATGTTATCATAAATGGCAAAAATTTAAAATTTTTTTACCTTTTATTATTTGTCAATTACAGTTGACATTCAATATTATATTAGTTTCCGGTGTACAGCACAGTGGCCAGACACATAATTTACAAAGTGACCCCACCCCCCATAAGTCCAGTCCCCACCTGGCACCATACCCGGTCCCTGTGCTGGACTTGGCAGCACAAATGGCAAAAATTTCATTATTTTTTATGGCTAAATAGTATTCCACTGTGTATATATAAATAACATATCTTCTTTATCCATCATCCATCAATGGACATTTAAGGTAGTTTCCATATCTTGGGTACTATAAATAATGCTTCAATAAACATGGCAGTATGTGTATGTATGTGTGAATGTGTGTGTGAGTGTGTCTGTGTGTGTATTTTTAATTAGTGTTTTCATTTTCTTTGGATAAATACCCAGAAGTAGAATTTTTGGATCATAAGTAGTTCTAGTTTTAAGATTTTGAAAACCCTCTGTACTGTTTTTCCAGTTATCTGCACCAATTGACAATCCCTCCACAGTACCAACACCTGTTTGATTTTTTTTTTTTTTTCTGTATTTGCTTTCTCTTTGTTGCTGTTGCATTTTTTTAAAAAAATATATTTTATTGATTTTTTACAGAGAGGAAGGGAGAGGGATAGAGAGCTAGAAATATCGATGAGAGAGAAACATCGACCAGCTGCCTCCTGCACAACCCTTACCGGGGATGTGCCCGCAACCAATGTACATGCCTTTGACTGGAATTGAACCCGGGACCTTTCAGTCCACAAGCTGACGCTCTATCCACTGAGCCAAACCGGTTTTGGCTGCTGTTGCATTTTTTATAATAGCCATTCTGACAGTTGGGAGGTGATTATCTCACTGTGGTTTTGATTTGCATTTCCCCGATGATTAGTCACATTCAACACCTTTACATGTACCTGTTGGGCATCTGTATCTTCTTTGGAAAAATATCTATTCAGATCTTCTGTGCATTTTTAAATTAAATTATTTGCTTTTTTTACTCTTGAGTTGTATGAGTTACTTATATATTTTGGATATTAACCTCCTATCTGATACATGATTTGCAAATATTTCCTCCCATTCATTAGGTTGCCTTTTCATCTTGTTGATGGTTTCCTTTGCTGTGCAGAAGCTTTTTGGTTATTGGTTCCTGGCCTTTCTTATGAGATGTAGGAGCTCTTTATATATTAAAGAAATAGCCGAAACCAGTTTGGCTCAATGGATAGAGCGGCGGCTTGGGGACTGAAGTGTCCCGGGTTTGATTCCGGTCAAGGGCATGTACCTTCGTTGCGGGCATATCTCCAGTGGGTGGTGTGCAAGAGGCAGCTGATCGATGACTCTCTCTCATCGATGTTTCTAACTCTTTATCTCTCTCCCTTTCTCTCTGTACAAAATCAATAAAATATATATTAAAAAAAAAAAGAAAAAAAGAAACTAATCACTTGTGATATGAACATAATAGTTTTTCATGGTTTGGAACAAAGTCTTCACGTTTTGTTTACAATGCAAAATATTTTATTCCCTTGCTCCCTTCTCCATATCAACTAAAAAACACTGTTAGATGCTGGGTACAGAGGTAGAGGACAGACAAGAAGAAAAATGCAGTACAATGTCATAAGATAACCATAGGGAGCCATGAAAGCCAACTGGATTCATACTGAGGGGAAAGGGTATGTGATTATGAAGGAAGGCATCTTGGTAGTAGTAAAAACTGAACAAAGTTCTATAAGTACTAGAGGAAGTAGACATAGCAGGCCCTCGAAATAGCACATGGACATGTGGGGAATAACAAGGAGTCCTGTATTATTGCAAGTCTTAAATCCAGTCAGGAAGACCTGACTCATTTGTCAGAAAGACAGCAATCACAGTAGATAAGATTCCATTGGTCT